AATCTATGGTCTGATGAGAAGAACATATACTCAGTATTATCAAAGTGAAATTTTCTGTATATATCTGTTAGGCCTATTTGTTCTAATAGGGTGTTTAAGTCCATTGCCTTTATAGCTCTATTTGGAGGATCTGTCCAGTTCTGTCAAAGGGTTGTTGAAGTTCCCAGTTACTATGGTGCTGCAAGATATATTGTTGAGATTGGTTCCTTTTATATATCTGGGAGCATTTAAGTTGGGTGCACAGATATTTAGGATTGAAATGTCTTATTGTATTGTTCCCTTGACCAGTATATAGTGTCCATCTTTGTCTTTATTTTTGTTAGTTTAAATCTAAATGTATCTGAAAATAAGATTGTAATCCCTGCTTTCTTTTGATTTCCATTTGCCTAAATCAGGGGTCCTCAAACTTTTTAAACAGAAGGCCAGTTCACTGTTCCTCAGACCGTTGGAGGGCTAGACTGCAGGCCCCTGGATGAGTCAGCTGCTAAGCAGGACAGGCAGTGAGAGCAAAAACACCTGGTGGGCCGGATAAATGTCCTAGGGGGGCTTCATGTGGCCTGTTGGCCATAGTTTGAGGATGCCTGGCCTAAATTATGGTTTTTCCAAACCCTAAGTGTTGTTTTGTCCTTGGAGCTTAGATATGTTTCCTGAACATAGCATATACATGGCTTGTACCTTTATATCCACTCAACCAGCCTATGCTTTGTCATTGTTTAATTCAAGCCATTCATGTTCATTATAATATTTGATATGTATGATGAAGTTCTGTTCATTTTGTTTGAGGATGTCTTTTGCTTAGACTAATCAGTTGTACCATTGTGGAAGGTAGGCTTTAGTTTCTGGGTTTCTTTATTTTGCTTGTGATCCATTATGATAGTGTGAAGAATGTGTCTCAGTATTTCCTCCTGAGCTTTTCATGTTATGGTTAATTTCCTCACTGTTTGCTTGTCAGGGAGAGATTTGATTTCTCCATTGAATACATTTCATTTAGCAGGATAAATAATCCTGGGGCTGAGAGTTGCTTTCTTTAAGAAGGTCAAGACAGGTTACCATTCTCCTCTGGCTTGTAAATTTTCCACTGAAAAGTTTGCTGTCACCCTCATGGTTTCCCCCTTATAGGTAAGAAGCTGCTTACTCCAGGCTATTTGCAGAATTTTCTCTTTAATTTTTGCTTTGGCCAATTAATTACAACATGTCTAGGAGACTCTTTGTTTAATTTGAGTTGTCTTGGATGGATTTCTGTAACTCTTTAGTATCTATATTTCTGGGTATTTCACAATGATTGGAAAATACTCCACAATTATGTCTTGAAGTAGAGTTTCCATGCTTTTAGGAGTCTTTCCTTCTCCTTCAGGTGTCTCCTATGATTTGTGTGTTTGTGCACTTCTTGTGGTCCCATATCTCTCTAAGGTATTGGTCTGCTTTTAATTTCTTCTTTTTTGCTTCCTTAAATAGTTGGGTTAGTTTAAAAGTGTTATCTTTGAGTTCTGAGATTCTTTCTTCTCAATATTCTACTCTGTTGTTGAGATTTTCTGCTGTGTTTTGATGTTCCTAACAGTCTCTTTCAATTACTTAAGGTCCATTATATCCTTCCCTATTATGTCCAGATCCTTGGTGACTTTATCTTTAATTTCACTGATTTCTTGAGACATTTTTTCTACTTCTTTTTCCACATTCTCTTCAATTCCATTCATCTTATTTTACATTCATATTCTGAATTCTATTTCTGTCATTTCAAGAATTTCTTTATGCATGGCATTTTCAGCTGTCTCCCTTGTAATCTCTTGGGGGGGTTGATCTGCTCTGAACTTTCATGTGGCCAGAGTTCTGCTGATCCCTTCCTATGTGTGTTTTTGATTTAATTTTTTTTTTAATTTTAAGCTGAAAAGGTTAGGGTGTCCCTAAATAGTTGTTGAGGGATATTCTGATTGGGTTCAGTTAGGTAGCTCAAAGGAGGCTGTTGGGGCCTTGAAGTCAGAGCCTGGGTCAACCAAGTGGCACACCTATTTGCCAGCAATAGTGTTGTTCAATGGGATCTGGGGCCTTTTGGGTGCCCAGTCAGGTGGACTGGTGGCAGTACAAGCTGCCTTGAAACACAGAGCTCTCTGTGCCCCTTCCAGGACTTGCCACTGTCATGCAGTAATTCCTTGTTCCACCAGCTGCTCAGTGGTTATTTGGGCTGTTTGGCTGCCTGATTCAGTGGGATGGTATCAATTATATAGGTCCCTCAGATGGAGCTCTCTACTATTATTCTGCTGACACAAAGTGGCTACTTGTTGTTTTGTCAAGTACTCAGTAGATTGTTAGGACCCTGTGGGTGCCTAAGGTAAAAGGCTAATGTCAAGTTCAGAGGCCCTGCAATATACAACTTGACTCATTCCTTTCAGGACCATTGAGAGAAAAGCAGCTATTTGCTGTAGCTAGCCTGCTTAGAAGGGATTTAGTACTGTCTGGACACTAAAACAGGTAGTCTGATATCAGTTTCAAGGGCCTTAGGCATAGAGTTTACCATGACCCTTCCAGAGCCCATCAAAACAATGCAACAGGTTGTTCTTTTGCTGAGGACTCAGAAGAGTTTTAAAGCCATTTGGAAACTAAAGCTGGTGGACTGAAACCAGATACAGATGCCCCTGGATGTGGAGCTTACCACTTCCTTTTGCTGCTGACTATTTAAATGAGCTGCTTCTTTCTCCTGTTGCCATTCTGAAACATAGCCTTCCAAAGCTTCCTTTTGGGTCCACATTGTGTTGGGGCCCCTGAGGACCAACATTGTTTATCTTTGACCAGATGGGGTGGCTTGGTGGCAGGACCTCCAGGTAATTCTCCTAGGCCAAGGGCAGCTCATGGACAGTGGGCTGAACTGTTCCAAAGTGTCAGCACCACCAGCAACAGACTAAAAAAAACATGCCTTTCTCTCGCAGTTGGGGAAGCGGAACCTGCAGTTGCAGGATACCTCTCAGGATTTCCCAGAGCAAGATCACCTGAGGCTAGGCCAAACCCTCTCCAAACCAGTAGAGGCATAGCTGGGGTAAGACTTCCAGCTGAAGCCCCCAGGCTGGGGACAGTGTGCAGATGATAATCTGAACTTCCCCAGAGGGTGGGCACAGAGCCTACCAAGCAGGAGGCAAGCTCAGCCTGAGCCCTATCAATATTAGTATAATTGAGCCACAGTTTCCTCCTGTTGTGGGGGGTAGGGCACAACCAGTTCACAACCTGACACAGTTCTCTGTCATGGCCCCACAGTGTAGAGGCCCTCCTGAGTTGCCACCAGATATGGTGGGGAGGCAGGGTCCATCTCCATTCACTTTTTCTGTTTCTTCTATGCTCCACAAGCAGTCATTGCCAGAGGATGCTGGTAAAAGAGCAACTAGCTTCTGCAATGCTTGCTTTAGTGGTCACTATCACTTTTTGTTCTCTGTATTTTACTCAAGAATATGCCTTGTTGATCATTCCATGTTAAATACATAAGTATCTACTTCACTTTTCAATGCCTGCTGATATTTTGTAGTAAATATATATTACAGTTTATTTGGCTATTCCTCTACTTGGTTGCTTCCAATTTTTCCTATAGCAAACAGTGGTTCAACAAACATCCTTGAATTTACCTTCCTGTGCATATAGGCAGGTGCTTCTCTAGTATAAACACTCAGAAATGAAAATTCTTGAGGTGTAAGACTGTGTACATTTTTAATATTAATAAATATTGCCACTTAGTCTTCCAATATGGCTGCACCAGTTATTGAGTAGGGTATCTGTAAACTCACAACCTTACCAGCACTTGATATTATAAAAATTTTAAATACTTATCAACTGATAAATTTTCTCAGTTTTATTTTCCCTTATTAGGACTATTTTCCTATATTTTTTGAATCTTCTTTTCATACTCTTTGCCCATTTTTTTTCAAATGAGTTGAAATCTTTCCTAGTAATTTTTCAGAGTTAAAAAAAAATTCTGAACATAAGTCATTTGTTCTTTGGTGCAAATATTTCCCTAGGTATGTCTGTATGTGCATTTAATGAAACTCCTGATACATATTTCCAAACATTCCAGCAGCAAAGATGTTACCAATTTATATACCCAATAGTCATATAAGTTGCTGTATGAAACAATCATGATTTTTGTCCCATTTATAGAGTTTTGGAGTTTAACAAGCACTGTGACATATATTATTACACTCTAGCCTAAAAATAGAGTTGGTAGTGGTTAAGGAAGTGGGCTTGGAGTTACTTACTTGCTAGATAGACATCTACTTGATGCATGACCTTGGTCACATTACCTAACTTCTTTGTGCCCCAGTTCACTCATCTGTAAAATGGAGATACTAATAGAACTTTCCACATAGTATCATTGTGAAGAATAAATAAAATAATATTTTAAAAGTTCCTGTGAGAAGGCCTTATATGTATAAGGCAAACATTAAATGTAGGCTATAATAATATAATTATGTATCAGCTATTTTATTAACATTAATACCACTCTATTACTATAGTAGTAATACTACTACCATTACTTCTGCTGGATATTAGTTTGGGTGTATTATATGCTGTCTGCCATCAGATTCTAACAACTCCTCAAAAAAATATTGTTAGCCTCATTATAAATATGAGAAAATTAAACCTAAGAGAGAGGATCTATGATTTGTTCAAGGCCACTCAGCTAGGTACTGGCAAAGAGATGACTAGAAACTAGTTCTGTTGATTCTTCCACTGAGAAGTGGAAGCAGTGATTCCAGTAAGGAGCTGCCACACTAACTCCAGAAAGAGAGATGAGGCCATGCCAAGAGTAGCAAGTCTGAATGAATGTGTGAATGAATTACTGACTGAATAGGCAAAGTGATGGTTGAATGAAATAGTGGAGAGTTAATGTGCTCCACTAAGAAAATAAATGAACAGCTAAGAAGGGAATTGAAGAACTCAAAATCAACAGCATGGATAAAATATGGACTATCCAGGAATAAATTTAAAATGAATTTATTTCATTCCCATCTCTACTCCTGCAGGAAACCATACCTTTGGTTATGACAAGTTTTTTAGGGACAAGATCATGGAGAAGAAACAGGATCATACTTACCGTGTGTTTAAGACTGTCAACCGCTGGGCTGATGCATACCCCTTTGCCCAACACATCTTTGAGTCATCTGTGGCCTCAAAGGATGTGTCTGTCTGGTGCAGTAATGACTACCTGGGCATGAGTCGGCACCCTCGGGTCTTGCAGGCCACACAGTGAGTAGTAGGGTCTGGGCCATGAGCTGCAGGGGATGTATCTAGAGAAGATCTAAAACCACATGTGAAAGAAAAAGGCAGAAGTGACAGTGAAAATCTGGGTTCCACTACCATCTCTTTAGTCAAAAGTCTTCCAGCATATCTATTATTTGAAAATGAACTAAGTGTGTCAATATACCATGTTCTTCAAACTCCTGGGTGTCTAGTGCTATGAAAGGGAAGGATGAGAGACCAAGTAAGGCCCATTCTCTATGTGTAGAATTAGTAAGGCTAGAGATGGTATGTGGCCTCCTTTAGGTCTTCCAAACTGCTCAACCTCAACCTAGCTTCTTTCTCTTAGTGCCTCTAGCCCTAGAAGAAGGGTCCATGTCTCCCCATCCTTCCCATTCTCCCCATCCTCCCCTCTACATAGTCACATAGGACACAGTTCATATAGGACCACTAAGTCAACTGTGACCTCCATCACAGAAGGGAAACCTACCTATTACTTCAGTGCCTGACAATTTTTTTTTCCTCTTTTTGTCTCTCTCTTATCTTATTGCCAGGGAAACCCTACAGCGTCATGGAGCTGGAGCTGGTGGCACCCGCAACATCTCAGGCACCAGTAAGTTTCATGTAGAGCTTGAACAAGAGCTGGCTGAACTGCATCAGAAGGACTCAGCCCTGCTTTTCTCCTCCTGCTTTGTGGCTAATGACTCTACTCTCTTCACCTTGGCTAAGATCCTTCCAGGTAAGTCTGAAGCCTGAGCTTTGTTTGGGGCTGGCATCATGCAAAACAGCATCCATACTTATTGCCTCCATTGCTCCTTCCCTCTATTATGAGTTCCTTTGCTCCCACTTTCTTTCCTCCTGATTGACCTTGTATACCCTCAACAGTAGATGATTCTACCCCTCTGATTTATTTTGCAGCTAGATAAAGGACCACTGCTGGGGAACATCACTCAACCTCTCAGAAAAGAAACACCATAAATTTATCACCTTCCAACTCAAGTGGGCTCTTAAACACTCAAAAATAGTCTTTTGTATCCCTAGAGAAGTTTCTTCAAACTTTCTTCCATCTTCTTAAATGTTTGACTACCCCTTCTTCACCAGAAAGAAACTTTTATTTTTATTTATTTTGATAGATTTAGGGAGAACAAATGCTTTTAGTTACATGGGTGGCTTATGTAGTGATGTAGTCAGAGCTTTTAGTGTACCTGTCACTCAAATAATATACATTGTAAAAAACAGGTAATTTTTGATCTTTTATTCCCTACCCACCTTTCCCCTTCTTAGTTTCCATTGTCCATTATGCCACTTTATATGAACATGTATACCATTTTGTATGAATATGTATTATTTAGTTTCTACTTAGAAGTGAGAACGTGGTTTTTGCTTTCCCATCCCTAAGATACTTCACTCAGGATAATGTTCTCCAGAGGAACTCCTTATTTACTGGCACCAAACTACAAATTTATTTGCTTGTTCATCTATCCTTCCCTCATTCTTTTCCCTTACAATAGAAGGCATATCTCTCCTTCCTCCTAAAATGAATCTATTCACTTATACACTGGATCCCATCTTCCCACTCTCTAGCCAATAATATCCTCACCTCATATAACATGTCATCCTTCCAACACTGCCCCAATCCCAGATGAATGTAACTCTCTACCATCCCTGTGTCAATCTGAGATCATGTAATTGTTTAGACAGGAGCCACTAAAAATTCATGCACCCCAACCTCTGCTAGATTCTTTATGTTCTCTGGTAATCCTGCGTCCCAGGTCAATTTCCTAAGTCTCTGGGGGCAGTTTTGCCAAATCCCCGTTGTCCTTAGCCTTCCTATACCTACCTACTTCTCCACTGTCAACAGATGATCTCACCTCTTACCACTGAAAATAGAAGACACCAAACAGCAATGTCCTCAACTTCTAGCCACAAAGTACCTATAAACTCACAAGCATCTCTATGTGACCTCTTCTCACTCCTCTCTGTTGACAGTGGAAGAAGTTCCATTTTTCTTGTTCACTAATCTTTCCACTAGTTCTGTGTCCCATTCCCCCCTACAAACTCACATGCATCTCTATGTGACCTCTTCTCACTCCTCTCTGTTGACAGTGAAAGAAGTTCCATTTTTCTTGTTCACTAATCTTTCCACTGGTTCTGTGTCCCATTCCCCCCTACCTCCTCTCCTTCTCTTTAAACATGTTCAAGTCTCTTGTACCTTAAAAGACAAAATGAAACCATTGTCTCAACTCCTCATCACTCCTTAGCTACTGCCCTATCTATCTCCTTCTTGAAATAGGCAAATTGTTTCAGACAAGTCTCCAAATTTACTATGTACTTCATCACCTTCTGCTGATTATTCTTCAGCACACCATAAACATCACCACTACTTCTCAAATTCTTTTTCTGAGGTCATGCATAAACCGTAACTAAACCTAACATCTTTGAGACATTTTTCAGTCAATCCTCTTATCAGCCATTAGAATTCAACTTCTTTCCATCTCTACTGTCACCATCCTAGCCTAGATCAACACCAATTTTTTAAATTTCACCTTTGCCCTTCTATAATCTATCCTTCATGACAGTCAGAATGGTTTTAAAAATGCAAACTTATCTTTGTTACTGCCCTGGTCAAAACCTTTTAATGGATAATTATTGACCTTAGGACTAAATCCTTATTACGGTTTCTAAAGCTATCAACAATCTGCCTTCTACATATGTCTTCAGCCTCATCTTCTGTCATCCCTTCTTTCACTCATCAGTTCAGTAATATATTCATCTGTATACTCACTCACTTATAAGTCTGTCATTCATTTATTCATTCATTCATTCAATAATTTCTTATGTAGCATCTACTATATACTTAACCTTATACTGAGTATCAGTGACAGAAAGATTAAAAAAAATTGTTCTTTGTCGTCTCAAGAAATTCCCAGTTTACTTGTACTTTAAGCCATGTCCTTTGGGAAGCTTATTTTCTCAAGCAGAAGGTATCCCTTACTCTTATGGAAGGACAGAGTTCTTTGATGGCAGTGCAATTTGGGGGCAGCAGGAATCAAACCCATTCACCAATTTCCCACCCCCACCTACCCTGCCAGCATTACACAGTAAAAAATCCCTCAATTCCTCAGGTCCTAGAGAAAGGCCTTCCCCTCTCTGGATTTCAGCTTTCTCATGTGTACGGTAAAGGAATTGGATCCCATGGTCAGTAATGGCTCTCCCAGCTCTTATATGCTATTATTTCAACAGTGAAAGGCTGATAAGTACCCATGCTTGTAACGATAAGCAGATAGGTAATACCTATAAGAAGTGGGATTTCACCAAGACCTGGAAGAATCTAGCACTAGTCCACATCAACAAACATTCCCTGGGATAAAACCCCTTTATAAGTCTTGATCTTATATATTGGAGAGAAGGAACCTAGGTCCTATCTTCAAGGGACTCTAAAAAAAGAGAGAGAGAGAGAGAGAGAGATTCTAAAGTTTCCAGAGAAATTAATTTTCCTCCACCTCAAGACAGAGGCTAGACTAGTGTTATAAATAACTGGAGAGAAGGGTGTAAGGGCTAGAATTTCAAGGCAGGAAAGTCCTTCCAAGGGAGGAAGATATGTTGCAACAGCTTCCAGAGGTGGGGAAAGTGAGAAGGCTTGTCAAAGTGAAGAAAGGGTTGGTTCTCTTCTCCTGCCAGGCCAGATCTGAAAAGTTAAGTAAGAGTAGTGAGATAAAATTATGCATCTGCTTCCTCAGGGTGTGAGATTTACTCAGATGCGGGCAACCATGCTTCTATGATCCAAGGTATCCGCAACAGTGGAGCAGCCAAGTTTGTCTTTAGGCACAACGACCCTTACCACCTAAAGAAACTTCTAGAGAAGTCCAACCCCGAGACACCCAAAATTGTGGCTTTTGAGACCGTTCACTCCATGGATGGTATGTATTTCTGTGAGTCAAGTGCATATTACTAGTATTGGTTTCACAAAAACCATAATTATAGTAATTGTAATAATAACAGCTAATACCTATAGAGCACATATTATGTGCCAAGCAAAGTTATTGCTATTTTACATGTATTAATTCATTTAATCTTCACAACAATTCCATGAGGTAAGTGCTATTTTTATTTTTTATATGAGGAAACTGATATGTAAACAAATGGAATAACTTGTTCAAGGTCACACAGCTAGTAAATTGCAAAGGATGGAGACAGCTATTACACTCATCTTACCAGTAAAGAAACTAAAGTTCAGAGGTGATGTACAATTAGTCAATGATGGCTCAGAAAACTGGTGCCAATAATTTGCACACTAGGATGTATGACTCTAATTCCTTAATGTGACACTTCCTCCCCACTAGAAATGACGTGCAAATCAGTCATACAGTGTCTAGTTTCTTACAACGGAAATTTTCACAAAACACTTCCTAGGATATTTTTTCAATAATCCAGTATGAAGCATTGGGATCAAAACAGGTTTTTAAGTCAGAGACTTGGGTTCAAATTTCACCTTCGACACTTAACCAGCTATATGATATTGGGTAAGTCTTTAACTCTCTGAGGCTCAGTTTTCCTCAAGGAAAAATTATCTGGTTGTGAGAATTAGAGATGATGGAAGCCAAGAGATTTATTATGTTTTAGTCAAAATAAATAACTTTTACCCACCTAACTCCTTTGTTGTCCCAACTGAATCAATACTCAAAGATTTTTATTGCTGGCCCTATTGGGCAGAAATCATGTGTTTTAGGTATCCCCTTCCAAATTTGTTTAAGGGAAGCGGTCCTCACCTCATTTCAGTTTGTTACTTTTCCAACTGAAACAAAAGAAGATTCATAGTACTCTCTGATTTAGCTACAGTAAGTGCCATTAGCATTAGGTAATAGTTATTCAGTGCAACTTACTAGCTTAGGAAAACGTTTTGTTGCAATTTGGCTAGGGCTGGGTTCGAACCCGTCACCCTCTGTACATGGGGCTGGCGCCCTACCCACTGAGCCACAGGCACCACCCAGGAAAACTTCTTAATTGCTCTGTGTCTCAGTTCTCTGTTGCCGTATTTGCAAAATGGAGGTGATAATAATTAAGCAGCTGTGAGAATTAAATGAGTTAATATATGTAAGATACTTACTGTAATGCCCACTCTCACATTTCTACAACTAGCAACAAAATAAAACCACTCCTTTTCTATATTCCTACTACTGAAATTAATCAAATTTAGTATTTTTCTAGTATCTTGTTGGTACCATTGCACTTTCTTACATTTGTAAGTGAATAGTTCCTTGGTTTTTTGGTGGAAACTGCCTAAACTTTCAATCTTAGGGTTGAATCTCTCTTATTAAAATGACGCTGGCTGGGTACAGTGGCTCACGCCTGTAATCCTATCACTCTGAGAGGCCCAGGTGGGTAGATTGCCTGTGCTCTGGAGTTCAAAACCAGCCTGAACCAGAGCTAGACGTCATCTCTTTAAAAAAATAGCTGGGTAGTGGAGTGGATTCCTATAGTCCCAGATACTTGGGAGGTTGAGGCAAGAGAATTTCTTAAGCCCAATAGTTGGAGGTTGCTGTGAGCTGTGATGCCACAGCACTCTACCAGAGGTGACAAAGTTAAGACTATGTCTCAAAAAATGAATAAATAATAAATGAATGAATGAATAAATAAATAAAATGACACTTGAAACATCACAGTCTTCTTTTTCTCAGGCTCTGCCTTCTGGAATTGCCTTCCCTTATGTTGCCCTATTGCTCACATTCTTTAATCTTGGCCTAGAGCCCCTGTTTCTACCTGAAGAAGTTTCTTCTGTATTCAAACTCTCTGTACCTCAACAGTTTCTAGGGCATACAGAGGGGTGGTATTAGTGCATACACAGACTTCCAGGAAAAACCAAAGAAGCAAAGAGAGGCTGAAAATGGTAGAAACAGGAAGACATGTATAATCAGAATGAAGTAAAAACAGAAAGACAGAGATCCAAGCCTTTATCTCAGACTGCGGAAAAGACACATACACATGCACACAGAGATAAGGAAAGCATGGAGTATAAGCAGTTGATGCGTGCAAAGAGGTTTAGAATAGTCCCATATGAGGGTGCCCGTTCTCCTCCCTCTCTACAATACCCCTTTCCAACCTAAATCAGGTGTGGTAAATTCTACCCTGGAAGTGGTGCTAGGTAGGGAAGGATTATGAAATCCTACATCTATCCCTTGGATTTGCTCAGGTGCCATCTGTCCCCTTGAGGAGTTGTGTGATGTGGCCCACCAGTACGGGGCCTTGACCTTTGTGGATGAAGTCCATGCTGTAGGACTTTACGGACCCCGAGGCGCTGGGATTGGAGAGCGTGATGGAATTATGCACAAGATTGACATAATCTCTGGAACTCTTGGTAAGTGAATGCCCTGGGTCTCCCTTATATGGAATCTAGAGAGGAGCCCCAGCAAAACCATTTTCTCCACATACACCCCCACACTGTAGGAGTTGTTTGGGCAGAATTCACATCTCCAAGCTGCTATCCTCCTGAACTTTCTCCCTCCATTTCCATCCCAATACAGAGTTGCTGAGAAAGTCTGGGAGGGTTTTCTGAAGATCCCTGAGCTGGACCAAATAGCCAGGTTCAACTTGAGAATGTGGAAAGCTGTGTTTTCAAACCTCTCCCTAACTCCTTCCCCAAGCTTCATCTTAGCTCCACTCATGGCCCTAACCAGTTAAAAGTCCCCACCCAGCTTCTGCCTATCTAGTTATTGCATATGGCAGGACTTGAAAGTGCTATCTCAAAGCAGCAGAATTATCAGCTCTGACTGCCTGGTCATGGACAGGAGAGATGAGTAGCGGCCTGAGGAGACAGTCTGGAGCCCCAGATTCTGGTGTATTTCTCTGTGTTAACTGGGACATGATCCTATTCCTCCAGGGAATGATCATAGGATCTGTACATATCTTCCTCCTCCTTCTCTCCAGGCAAGGCCTTTGGCTGTGTGGGTGGTTATATTGCCAGCACCCATGACTTGGTGGACATGGTGCGCTCGTATGCTGCAGGCTTCATTTTCACCACTTCACTACCCCCCATGGTGCTTTCTGGGGCTCTGGAATCTGTGCGTTTGCTCAAGGGAGAAGAGGGCCAAGCCCTGAGGCGGGCCCACCAGCGCAATGTCAAACACATGCGTCAACTACTAATGGACAGGGGCCTTCCCATCATCCCCTGCCCCAGCCACATCATCCCCATTCGGGTGAGTGCCCCACCATGCCCATTGCCCTTGCCATCTATCTCTTCCTTCCGAGGGGCTTTCTACTCCCAGCAAAGTGATACAAGATTCTATTCTTTGCTTTTCTGCTGTTTTCCTTATTGCCAGCTCTGTTCCCCCTTTTGAAACATTATTAGCCATTCTAGATTAACCAATTTCATCTTTGCATTAGCTATTAGCTCATGCTTGTAAGACTGTCCTGAACTGCACAATATTTAGCACTCACAGCCTGTAACTCAGTGTTTTTCAATCTATGGATAATAAAATCAGTTTGGTGGGTTTTAAGTGGAATTAAAAAATGAAACAAATAGAATAGCAAGTGTTACAGTACATCACACATACTAAGGGTATCATTTTATGAGAAATTTGTTTTGTATATGTATATATGCACATGTATATGTACATGTGTGTATTTATGGTCTTGGTACAAAACATATCTTACTGAGAATTGAGGTCAGCAAAAGTTACAGTACTAGCTGCTATTTTGGATCCCCAACTATGTATGAGGCTTTACTATTATTAAAATTGAACTGCTACTTATTTCTTAAATGACATTTATTTCTGCTATTTTTGCGAGCCAGGTAATTCAGGGCATGGGAAGGACACTTCTTTAATGCCAATTTTATGGATGAGAAATTAATAGTCACTGCTCTTTATGAAAAAATCTGCCCCCAAATTCAATGATATTCCCTAATCTAGTTCCCTCTACCTGCATAATGGAGCTAGTGATGGTGAGCCCAAGGGTGGCAAGTAGTGATAGGACTTTCTCCTGAGTCTAGGTGGGTGATGCAGCACTCAACAGCAAGCTCTGTGATCTCCTGCTCTCCAAGTATGGCATCTATGTACAGGCTATCAACTACCCAACCGTCCCGAGGGGTGAGGAGCTCCTGCGCCTGGCACCCTCCCCGCACCACAGCCCTCAGATGATGGAAGATTTTGTGGGTATGTTTTCAATATGGAGGCTGTAGAGCAATCTCACTCCACTTAGCTCCAGGATCCGAAGGAAAAGTTGAGAGGACAGAGACCATTCAGTTAAAAAGTTATTTCTGGAACATTTATTATGTGCCATCCCCTATGTTACGGTCTCAAATGAATGAGAAACGGACCCAAGGACTATAAGGCTTCAGTTTGGTCAAGGACACCATGGCAGACACGGTGACATAAAGAGGTGATGAAAGCCTAAGAAAGGCAGTGTATGGGGTGGTTATTGGAAAATAGAGGAAGGCCCTGACCCAGTCTGGAGGATTTAGGATAGGTTTCCTAGTGGAAGCATCACTTGAGTTGAGTTTTGCAAGCTGAGTGGTATTGGGTGAAAGGTATGAAAGAGATGTTCCTAGTAGAGGGGAGAGCAAGAAGAAAGACAAGAGGATGAGAATTAAGTGGAGATTTATTAATAATAATAAGCAGGTGTCATTGGGATCTAGGGTAGTAGGAATGGAGTTGGGGGGTAGTGTCAGTTTATGATCTACAAAGAAAACACAACACAATACAGGGACTAGATAGAAAGACTTGTAGAGCTGAATAGTTTGAGTTTTACTGAGAAAATTCTAGTGTAGTGAATTTGCCTAGTTTGCTGGATTTTCATTGGGTGCAGTTCTATGGAGTAGCAGAGGAGCCAGACACAGGTGTACGGTACAGTATGATGAGCTCTACTGTTCTGGGCGATGGATGGAGTGACCTCACTACAGTTAGACAGAGTGGGAAGGATGAAATTGGAAAGGCTTTGTAGGTGAGGAAATTTTTCTTTTGCTTATTGAAGTATGTGTGAAGACAGCGTAAGGATATTCCAGAATTATAGAATTCCATGAGCCATGACCTAAAGATAGGAAAGCAAGTTCAAGGAAGATAAGGAAGACAAAGTAGGCGCTATTTATTCATTTAAAAACATTAAATAATACCGGCCAAGCACTGTTCTAAACATGTACAAACTTATCTAATCCTCACAACAACATCATTAGGTAGAGATGCTCTTCTCATTTTCATTTTATAATATGTGGAAATTAAGGCATAAAAATATAAAGTCACAGGCCTAAGCTCTTAGAGCTACTAGGTTGGAACTAGGGATCTGTCTCTATTTCCATGGTCATAACCACTAGGTCTGCTGCCTCTCTAAGCTGATGACTTAGAATCCCAGGCCTTAAGTTCAGTTTTCTTTATTGCTCTTGGCTTCAACATTAGAGCTTTCAGTTGCCCCACACGTAGGCTGGGCTTTTGCAGGAATGATATGAGAGGTCTACACCATGGCTCCAACAGTCCCATAATCACACAGCCCACCCACACTGAAATGCTGCAAATGGTTTCTCAAATATGTTCTCTTTTTCCCCCTACCACTTTTTAAGTCCATGTCAACATGATTTCTTCTTAAGTTTTCTGCTCCTCTCTTGTTCCTCTTCAATATCTTCTGCATATTGACCACCTAAGAGTTTTCTAAGAACTTGAATAGATGGCTCTCTTACTTAAATCCATTCCCTATTGTTCAGACTCTACAGCAGTATTCTCCAAGGTGAAGTATGCAATATGACCATATAGGGTGAGGGACTAGAGTACAAATGAGAATGTTATGTTTATTTTTAATCTTAAGAATAGGAAAGTAAGCATTACTGACATTGATGTTTAACATAGAGATTGACAATGAAACCATGTATATAGTATGTGAATAAATATACAGGATTGGAGGCACATGATACAATGTTTGTACTAATAAGGATGTATAGTCCAACATTTGGAAATGATTGGCTTACAGACAGAGTCAAATCTCCTTGGCATGGGATTCAGTGCCTACTTTGTGGTCATCTCTGTGCCCTCACCTCTTTCCCATGTGCATTTTATTTCTCCAACTACACCATATTGACTCCTACTTCCCTTTCAAAAAATATTTACCAAGTACCTACTGTGTGAGTATGCCATTCTAGATGCTGGGAATGTATTAGTGAAAAAAAGTGACAAAATTCCTGCTGTTCTGGGGTTTATATTCTAGTGGAATGGGATAGTCAAAGAATATTTTAAAAATAAATAAATTGAATACCATGTTAGTTCTAAACACTTATGTGGAAAAAAAAAATAAAGCAGTATAAGGGATATTAAAACTAGTCCCAGCTCCCAAGGGCTAGTTCTGAGGAGACTACAGTATTACAGTGGCAAGGGTAGAGACTATTGAGGTGATACTTGAGCAAAGATTTAAAGGAGATGAAGGAGTTAGCTGGGTAGATACCTAAGGGAAATGCATCCTAGGTGGAAGGAGCAGCCTAAGGCCTGGAAGACACAGAAGTATTCCTTGTCTTACTAAGAAATGGTAAGATGAGTGAGGAGTGGTGTAAGCAGGTGGAATACAAAAAAACTGAGTAGACAGAGGCAATGCAGAACCAGAGTGTTATATGCCATTGGAAGGATTTTGGCTTTTACTCACAGTCCTGAATAGAGGACTGACTTATTTGATTCAGGCTTTTACCTGAATTGTTCTCAGTTCCATGTTGAGAATACATTGAAAGGGAGCAAGAGTGAAAGCAGGAAGACCCAGTAAGAGGCTACTGTAACATTCCAGATGAAAGACAATGTTGGGTAAGATGTGATAATGACAATGGAGGTGATGATAAGTGGTCAGATTTTGAAGGTGGAGCCAATGGTATTTGTTGATAGATTAAACATAGGGTAAGAGAGAAAGAGAAAATTAAAGGATGGCTATGAAATGTTTGGACTGAACAACTGGAATTGCTATCAACTGAGATGGGAAAGACAGAAAGTAGAACAGGATTGGTGGAAGGTAGAGACATGAATATCTCAGTTGTACTCATAAACTAGGGATGCCTATTAGACATACAGGTGAAAATGCTGAAAGCTCAATGGATAGAAAAGTCTGGAATTCAGTAGAGACGTCTGGGCTGGATATTAAAATTTCAAAACTGTCAGCATAGAGATGTGCTTAAAGACATTACATTAGATGAGATTACAAAGGACATGAGCATAGGAAAGAATAAGGACAGCACCCTGGCATATACCTGAGGTACTTCCTAGAGTTGAGTTAGGTTCTCTCCTTTGGTTCTCACCCTGCTCCAGAACCCCTGGTCATAGCATCAATGGACTAGTGTGGTAACTGTCAGTATCATCTTTCCTTACCTTGCTAGAAGTTTCCAGATAATTCACTTCTCCAGTCACAGCACATCCTATACTTAGGGAGTGGTCCAGGGTTGGACAGTTTCAAATTATGTCAAAAGACTGCTTCCTAATCTATCATACATTCTGGCACCCACAGAAAAATGGCAACACTTATGGCACACACTGGAGCAGAGAGGAGGTTATTTCTGGCCCAGAAGCACCTTGAAGTGTTGAGGGTACCAATATCTTAGTCCATATATACTGTGACATGGGGATTTGGAAGATGTAGTCTTAACTAATTATTTTTCTCTCCTTCCCCTAACACCTTCAGGGAAGCTGCTGGAAGCCTGGAATGAGGTGGGGCTGCCCCTTCAGGATGTGTCTGTGGCTGCCTGCAATTTCTGTCACCGGCCTGTGCATCTCGAGCTCATGAGTGAATGGGAGCGTTCCTACTTTGGTAACATGGGTCCCCAATATGTCACCACCTATGCCTGAGAAGCCAGCTGCCTTGGACCCCACCCCTCCTGTACTGCACTTGGGGCTGGACCTCCTCCTGTCCTCTGCTTTGTTGTGTGCCTCTAGTTGATTGAAGTCTAAAAATAAAGAGCAAACTGCAGCATGTTTAGCCCTTTATTAGACAGAAAACAGACAACTGCACTATACCTGACTCCCTCCTACAAGTGGCAGATGCATAAGGAAACCACATCACTTGCTGGCCTGACCATCTCATTTTACTGATAGGGAAACTGAGATCCAGAAAGAGGAAGGAAATGTCCAAACACTATACATGAGTTGCACAAAGAGTTGGGACACTTGGTAGACTTTTTAGAATTGGCTCTAAACCCAGGGATTGACTCTTCAGTGGTAGACCAGACATTTGGGCCCCAGCTAACCCTTGAAGCTAGAAGATAGAGTCAGCTCTAACCAAACCCCTGGAGAGAAGGCCCTCAACAATAGCCAAAGTCTCTGTCTGTACATCCCCTGTGGAAAAAAAAATGTAAGATTAAGCCACAGGTAAAACTAGGACCCAGGACACACAAATGCCTGGAATCACATTATAAGATAATGCCTTGCACACATCAGAGACCAAACTGGGAGAAAAAATGAAGTATCTATGATTATTGGAGCTAGAAAGATAGGAAAACTCAGAATTAGAAGTCTAGGAAGGGGGAGAGACTATGTAGTGTGAGATAGAGAGAATCAGAGCTAAGCCTGGGGGTCTGGGTAATAGGAGGAACTGAGAGTGGGAAATGGGAGATATAGGAGAGGGAAGTGGAAATTTGAGCTAAGGGTGGAGGTGAAAGAGAGAATTAAGAGATCAAGAATTAGGGGGGTCTGACAGGGGTGGGAGGGAGAGGAAATTAGAGGATGTCTATGTTTGGGATGGGATAGGAGGTGCGGCTTTGAGCTAAAGAGGAGAGATGGGGTGGGAATTTGGGGAGCTGAGCTGGAGTCAGGGATAGAGAATTGGGAGGTCTGACTTGGGTACAGGAGACAGAGTGTAACAGGGCTGGAGAGCAGAGAAAATTCGAGGGACTGAGTTGAGGCCAGAGAAAAGTGGTAATCTCAGTGAATATGGAGGTATCGAGAGGGAGGCAATTAAAGTTCTGTTGAAAACATGTGATGAAGCAGTAATTAGGGGATCTTGCTGGTCTGGAATGGGGGCTTAAGGAGAAGGGAAAGGGCAGGACTCTAAGAATAGGAAAATGGGAAAGTGAAACGAGATAGGGAGCATAAGTTAGCGGGAAAGGGAAAGTCTGACAGGAATCCTAGATTCTTGAGTGCTCACTGGTCACTGTGGTTTCCTGGAGACAGATAATATCAACATCCAGCTCTTCCAAAATGCGCCCATGGCCATGGTGGCAGTTACTGAGTTTCTGGTATACCGCATCTTGCAGGGGGTCTGAATCCCATTTATGTTCTAGCTCACCACGCGCAACATCTTAGCAAACTAGAACACTTACCAACCCGCGCCAAACCAGCGAAAGAGCTCGCGACTCGGAAGTCGGCCAGGCCCCACCTCCCCGGAGCGTTTGCGCAGGCGTTCCTGTGCGACCTACGAAAGCCACGCAGGGTGGAGCTTGGAGCTTCTCAGCTCTCATTGGCGGGAGGGGGTACGGGGCGGACGCGAATTGAGTGGATGTCTGGAAGGAAGGAATGGCGAGAGAAAAGTCTCCAGTTGGGCTCCCGCTCTTTTGTCCATACGCTGGTTAGGACAGCTGAGACCGCATTTTTACTTTCCTTATAAGCCCCTCTCGGTGCTTTCAGCTATTACAAGTGGGATTATGTCACTTTTTAAATTGCGGAATTCTGAGCAAACAGCAGACCGTCCAAAGCCCCACCCCCAGGATATAGACCGCTCTCCGAAGTGCACGAACGGCTGAGCACCTGGAGTACTGGCCCTATGTGCTGCCATTGGGTGGGGCGAGGGGGGTTATTGGTTGGAGGAGGGGATGCTTCAACCACACTACTGGATAAGGCCTAGGAGGAGGGCCTTTGGCTTTATTGGGGCAGGGGGCAAGAAGAGACTGTCTGGAACTCTCCCTGGAGCCATTATTTGTCTTGTGGCTCATAGCATTGGGAAGAATATGGCTGGACATATACTTGCTCTTGGCTCCATTTCTCAGATAAGTAATATTGAAGCTCAGAAAATTTAAGCTCCTGAGCAATATTGTCTCTAATGTATCCATTAATAATTGAATATTGGTTTCAAACTTATAAAATCGTTATTACTAGTATTGCAAGCACATCAAGATATCACTCTTTCCTTAAGTATTCCCACATGCACTCTTTATCCATGGCTGTTCTGTATACATTAGCTTACTTCATTCTCAGGACAACAACATGGTGGCTAAGAGTGTTTCAGTGAATTAACGTCAGCCTCACAGAAGTGTTAGAACCAGCATTCCAGCTGTATCTTAATTAGCTCAAGAATTACTTTCCTGAGTACATTTTACCTGACTACTCCCTTCCCCAGTTAGGCCTTTTCCTCCTGTCCCCCACAGCACTCTATGGGCCATTCTGTTATAGCACAATGCATAGCTACCATTGATTTCTACTTTTGTTGCCTCTAGACTGCTAGCAGCTTGAGAGCAATAACCATAACTGATTCATCTTGTTAGCTCTATCCCCTAATACTGGACACAACATATATTAGGAAGCAATAAATATTAAATAAATAAACAAAGGGCAATAGCAAGAGCATCAACAGGCTTATGGATTATTTTTGACAGCACAAAAATGGAAATAATGGGCATTCCCAATGTCCACATAAAAGCAGGATTTTGCATCCTTAGGGTCCTCATCCAGACTTGTCACATAATTCTTTTTTTCCATAATTGCACAGCCTTACAGCCATCATCTTCAGTGGTTACAGAAAAGGCACAGCAAACTGCTGTCAGAAAATAGTTCTGTAATTAACATAAAAATTTGTGTGTCTTGAAATTTTTCATGATTGGAGGGTTATTGACTCAGCACTGAGTCCTAAGAGTAGGGTAACAAGGACAAAGGAAATAAATTTTTTATTGCTCTTGCTTCATATTAACAAATTGCTTTCCAGTAAGAGATTGTGCCTATTTATACTGAAGACTGATTTAAACTTAGCCCCAAGGAAATTCAGACCTTGCCTGTCTCAGTGGCTGGTTTTAATTTCCCCATCCTGCCATGGCTTGTTAATATTAGTTCTGACCTTTGGGGCAAGGTGAACACATGGTCCGACTGAAGAGAAAAGGCTCCGGTGGCTCAGGAACTTCTTTGGCAACTACAACAGCTGATATTTCAACAGAGCTCACCCCACTCCTTTAACAAGGATACTTCCTCAGCTTTTTCAGGGAACCAACGAATTCCTCCAGGCTCCCTCTTTGATGCCACCCACTGGACCTGCTTTGGGGCTTGTAAATGCAAGAGAATTGAATGTTGGATAATTAATAATGGAAGAAAAAACCTCCAGGAGAAAAGGTAGGTGAGAAAAGTAGACAGGAGTTACACATGTCCATATCCATTCTTTAGGCTCCCTGGAAAGTTTTTGTTGCCTAGATGATCAGTTTAAATGTGCATTAAAAGGTATGGGACAGTTGGGGAAAGATGATTACCTAATTTATCTATCTGTATTTTTAAAATGAGTTCTGATCTGTCTTTGTGGGACATTGGCCCAAGGAAGCTGTAGCACCTTTAGAAGTCTATCCAACTTAGTCTAGTCCATTTTGGAATGAGCCAAGTGACTGAGATTATATCCCTTACCTCATCATTGGCATATAAAATAAGGTTGAGTTGTTGTGGCACTTTTAACAAGTTCTCTAGCCTCTATAGGCATTGGTTGTTTCTTCACTAAAATGGAAATCAAAGTTCTTAGCTTACATCCCTCAGAGAAATGTCTGAAGATCAAGAGAGGTGGGAGGACAGGAACCAAAACTCTTCAGAGACATTTCAGGACTTCCCTGCTCTGAGATTAGTGATCCTGATTTTTCTATAGCCTCCACAGGCAATGCCACCCACACCCCTTTGGTTACTCTGTTCCACGAGTGACTATAGTTTGTGGAGAGCTTCTCCTAGGACAAGGATTCAGTGAGCTTTGGGGCCCAGACAGGAAGCTGAAAGTAGTGGGGGAATGGTGCACCATGGGCAGTGGCTGAGGAGGAAGTGGATCCTAGGCTGCTGCTACAGAAAGCCTGATGCTCATATATATGCACCTGGCTTGTAAGCCTTTGACCAATCTACCTTCCCACCCTATCCCTCTACAAATGCATTCACACCCAGACTCTGAGAATTACCAATAGGGAGACCTCATTTGTTTTATTACCTATCAGCACTGTCTTGATGCTGCTTTAAATAATTTCGGGGTAGGAAAGTTCAGGATCTTTGAGCCTTGAAAAACACTATATATTTTTCCTAGAGATAGCCCCATTTTTGAATTTGCAGTTCAGGTCTTAGTCTTGAGAAGAATCTGATAGTAAGTGAACCTTTTATCTTTCAGTAGTTCATTTGCTTTTTCAGAGAGGACTTAATTCCTTTGCTTATCCTATTCTGCCCAAGTCAAGGTTGGGAAATCTTTCTATATGTCACCTACTTCATACAAAGTTAGTTCTCCCATCCAATTCCCTGCATAGCTCTCTGTTATGTCATTTACCTTGTTGAACAGGGATTACTTGTCCACATGTTCATTTCATCTACCTGTATGGCAAAGAGGTATGGACTGTACAAACATCCTTTGATGTCTCCACTATCCTCTGAGATAGGGCCTGCACTGGGCACTAGAAACATACATCACATATCACTGAGATCCAGTCTGCTAAGGAGCTCACAGTCTAGTGGGGAAGCAGAACAGGAAAAAAGTGGTGAATATTTTGTAGGCAAGAGCATATAGGCAATACAATAACCAAAGACAAAACCTGTCCCAAGGATAGAGGAACCACTTTCCAGAGGAAGTGAATATTTAACCACACCTTGAAGAGTGAGCCAGATTTGGGAGTGAAAGAGAAGAGAAGGTATTCCAGGCTAAGCAAAGGCCCATGTGAAGGAAAATACATGATCTATTTTGGGGCCCAGTGAAGCAGGTGGTATAGTTTATGCATGGAGGTCAAAAGACATGGCTGGACAAATAGGATAGGGACTGATTGAGAATAGCCTTGAATGCCAGGCTGAGGCCTTTCCATAAAACTTGTGTTGTTCTCCTGCTTCTGGCATCAGAATTGCTAACAGTGGTGAGTTATCTTATAGCTAGTTCCAGATAGTTTTAAGTTTTCAAGCCTGGACATCAGATTTATCTTTTTAGACCTTGTCAAAAGCCTGATAGCCTCCTCAGATTTCCCACTGCTAAAATTATCTTTCTGCCTCTTAGTGGGATCATGAGGACAAAATTGTAAACATAGAAGAGACATTCATGTGACCAGCTAGAATACCTTGACCAAGCCACTCCCCCTTCCCTTCCACACCTGTTTACTTATGAGACTAGTGAGCATATTTGTAATGAGCAAATAGGATAAGAGAAACATTGTTGCTTTGGGGGTGATTAAAAAAAAACACACATGAGAAGGTTTATGATTAAGATAATTATAAAGAATTATACCAATTAGGAGATATTAATAGAGTTGTATCTCTTCCAAAGCTTAGTTCTGAGATTCTAGTTCTGAGCTAACCTGGAAGACCATATTCTTAAATCAAGCTTGCTTGATCAATTAACCAAAGAAAATATCTGAACTGGGGAAAATTAGGTTCCCATGTTCTACTCTAGACTTGGCCACTGATTTTCTATGTGACTTCAGGAAGGTATTACTAGACCTCAGTTTTTTTACTTGAGAAGATGAGATGAAATAATCTCATAAGTCTTTACACAAAACTGGAAGATCAAAAATGAGTTCATCTTTCAGTTGGTTTATAGGAGCTCTGTGTATTATAAGTGTTAACTCTTTGACATAATATTGCAGATTTAATGAGTTCATTTTTCAGTTGGTATATAGGAGCTCTGTGTATTATAAGTGTTAACTCTTTGATATAATATTGCAGATTTATTTTATTGAGTTTTTCTGTATGCTTATCATTACAGTAAAGGTTGAAGATTAGTCAAAGAGGTGATTGATCATTTACTTCACAAAGGGAATAACAGTGTTAGGTAATATATTTTTTATTATTTTTATTATTTTAAGATTTAATACCACATTAAATCTTCAGCATCCCTTAAGGTGGTAGGTATTCCTATCACTCCATGTTCCAGATGAGAAAATTGAAGCACTGAAAAGTTCAGTTTTTTTTCCAATGTCTCATAGCTAGCAAGGGGAAGAGATAGGATTTTAGTCAGGTAGTATGGCCCCAGAGCCCCTTGTTCTTAACCACTATGATCCTCTGTCTCAGTAGATTTATTTAGATAGGTGGGCTCTGGAATTCATTGAAATTCTGGTATGATTTATATAGAGCAACTGGAGGGAATCTGATCCTTATGTAGACTAAGGCTGTGCAAATGTATTTTAGGGAACTTCATTCAAGGCAAAGTGGAACTGAGAGCACTTCATTCCAAGGTGAAGATTGGAGATTTCTTTCCCCAAGAGATTGCCTTCCTGTAGCCCAGTTGAATGGAAGAAAGATGAGCTTCCTTGTAGCCAATCACTGGAGGTTAATTAGGGAGTGGGAAGGTTGTGAAAGAATGAAGTAAGAGCACACTTGGACATCTTTCAAACAAGCTGTGCAGCTACTTGAGTTCTACACATAAATGCCTTGAAACAATGGGAAGAAGGACAAGGGGTAAGGGAATGGATCATATGGGCTGGTTGGCTCTGTCCTATGAACTTGTCCTATTTTGAGGGCATTGCTCCCTGCTCCCCACACTCTCCCAAGTACATTCTTCACCCTCCTGAGCCTCTATCCCAGTTGCTTGGCATGAAGAACCTTAGCCAGGTTTTAGATCAGATCGTGATGTCCTTCTCCCTAAGGAACCTGCTGGTAACTGGCGACCACATGGGCAGTGCTTACCATTTCTCCTTTCAGCAATGGCTGCACTCACTCCTCTTCCCAAGGTGTCATATTTACTTGGATTTATTTACTTTTGGCTAGAGAGAGTATATAGATTATCAGATAGTGCCAATCTCTCCAAGAATGCTGCAGGCAGCACATTTTAGGAAGAAGATGCCCTGTGGCAGGAAAGGTAGCAGAATCCAGAGGAAAACAAGGGTTGCACTGATATTTTGGGTGAGGAGAGAAGTGAAGCAGTACACTTTCCATTTCAAGTTTGTGCCTTTAATTGCTAGCTCAAAACATCACTATTTTCATTAAGGACTTTGTGTTTTTGTCCTCAAGAACCTTGCATTTCTGATGTGGCTGTTTCTGTGTTGGAGCTTGATATTCTACCTGGATTTTTTTTTCTTTGTTTTTTTCAAAGCTCGGAAAGCTGCTGAGACCTACCACCACCATTACCTTTGCTTCCCCATCCCACACAGGATATAAACACATGATCTTTTGTCTTTTATTTGCATACTCTACTAGTCCTGCCTTAATTGGAGGGAAGTGGCTGGCCAGACCTGGGCTGTTTTGTTGGCTGCCTTCCTTGCTGTGCTCCAGCTTATCTTTTATGTACACAACCCTTGGAGTTCAGAGGCCTCTGCTGACCTCTGCCCAACCTATTGCTCTCTGCACCTAAGCCCTCACTGGTACATTCAGGAGCAGAGGCAGGCTAGGACTAGAGGAAAGAGGAGAGAGAGCTGGAGACAGGCTGTGAGAGGGCACAGAAGCCCACTGCTCTTCCCTGACCCAGCCCACCTACTATTGCCATAACATCAAGGGAAGGAGCAGCTATTAAGATAGGAACTGAGGTGTCGTACCTTGTGGGCAATAGTGTCATTAGCTGTGACTTCTAAGATGTCTCAAGAGATGGGGGAGCTCACCCAAACTAGGTTGCAGAAGATCTGGATTCCACACAGCAGCGGCAACAGTGGGCTGCAACGGAGAAGGGGCTGTAAGTGGGGTTTATTTTCATGGGCTTCATGGTGGTGGAGGTAGAATGGGTGTAGAAGAGCAAATGATGCACCATTCCCTGACTGCCATCCACTCCCACTCTAACCTAAAAGGTGGAATAGATGAATAGCTGAATGAAGTAGCTGTAGGATAAGAGGCTATTATCAGAAAAGGTGAGGAAAGAATGAGGAACACATATGGAAAGAGAGAGAATTTAAGACAGGCAAAAGAGAATTAATAAAGACCATCTTCATCAAAAGGATAATGAACTTTGGCTATGAACTTTTCTTTTCTTATCCAGAGCTTATTTGGAATGCTTCTTGTTTGGAATTTAATGTTTCTTGTTTGGTTCAGTGCTATCCTGGAATGTTTTATTTGGGTGACTTATAATGTGACTGGGAACTGATCTTGCCTAACTGATAGTGCCTGGATGAAATAAGGGGATGGTCTCTGGCATCATCTCTCAGGAGACAGGTACTGAGTACACAGTGGTACCACATTACTGGTCAGTATTGCTCTTCCCCTTTCTCAAGCCTCTTCTCAGTCTAGCCTGTACCCACATGAATTGAGAAAGAAGTTGACTGGGTGTCCTGTCTCTAGTGTTGACTTCTTGGTACAGATGGGCCCTCAGAGGATTTGAGGTAGAAGACAATACTTGGTCTCTCAGAGACAGCCTGCTCACATGGTATTCACTTTGGAAATTTAAGAAAGAGCAAGCACAATAGAGAAGCAAACAAAGCATGCAAATATTTTTTTTTAAACTGAAGTCTACCATTTTCTGTAGAGAACAGGGGATAGTTGTGGGCTAAAGTGCCTCCAGCTCAAGGATTATAGCCTGAGGGGCCACAAGATGGGAGAAGTTAAGGTGGCTGTGGGCTGTGGGACCCAGACACCCCAAAGACCAGATGAGCGAGTTTCCACCCTGCTAATGTTAGAAGAGGCCCAAGCTCAGAGCTAGTGGGAGGAACAGTAGTTGCTTAGAGGATCCAGGAAGATGTAGGATGTTAAATACAGTGTTTAAGATGTAGGATGTAGATGATGGAAGAGGGAAAAAAAATCCTCCTCTTCTTCCTCTCTGCCAGCACTTTCAGTCACTCATCTGGAGATCTAGGAGTCTGGAGACCGAAAGCCAACCACTCTCAGTCCTTTCTAAGGAGCTGTGTGTTTATCTGACAAGCAGGCAAGCCACTCTCTGCATACATGGGTCCTCTAACGTTGTAACCATTATATTCCTGGAAACTATGCCTTTCGACTTGAGAGATAATATACATAAATCACCTAATATAGTTCTGTCACATAGAAGGCACAAAATAAATATTTGCTCACTTCTCACTATAGTTCCCGACCTTACTTTCCTCAACTATAAAACAGGGTTAATATATACCACCCAGTGTTGTTGGGGTGATTTACTGATTCATGGGTTCTGAATTCACACTGTCTAGATTTGAGTCTGCCACAGTCTGCCTCTGTGACTTTAGACAAGTCACTTAACCTCACTGGGATTCTGTTTCCTCACCTATAAAATGGCATTAATAATTGTAGTGTGAGGATTGGATGAACTTAAACATGTGAGGTGCTTCCAAGAGTGTCCAGCACATAGTAAGCACTCAGTAAATTTTACTTTTCATTATTTATTTTTTATTTATTTTTTATTAGATCATTATTGTGTGGGGACCACGCCTATAATTTATCCTATTAGGGTACATGTGAATTTGTCTAAAGGTTGAATATAAATGTCTTAACACAACAATTATGAGAAAGACATGATTGGTATGTTAGCCACTTTTCATTATTTAAACAAGAAAGTAATGTGTAGTCTTGTGGTCTTGTTAACCACTATATCTCCAGCATCAAGCCTTGAGCCTTGCACATAGCAGATGCTCAGTAAATGGTACTCCATGCTACTTCCACTCTACCATTCACCACAGCCAAGAATGGGGCTCTGTGTGCACAAGACAGTCTCTTGTTAACAATTAACTGAATTTTATCAGACCACAGCTGCAAAAACCTTAATAGTAATGTTTCCAGGTCTTTCCTTGGGCAGTGTCTATCTCACCTCTTACTGGGGAGGCCAGGCTATTGCTCCCAGAAAGGTCTGAATCACCTTTCTCTTGGATCATTCTCTCTGGAAGACACAATAATTGTGTCTTATGTTGTTATGAAGGTCAGATTCATTAACTTATGTAAAGTGATTGAATAGCTCTGTATATTCTTTTTTCATCCAACATTATGTATATTTGAGCCATCCATATTATTGTTACATGTACTTGTAGCTTGTTTATTTTCCTTGTGAATATCCCATAGTTTATTTATACATCTTACTATTAATGACCATTTAAGTAATTTCTAATTTTTGGTTATGAGAGAGGAGTGGATGTTCTTGTACATTTATCCTAGTAGAACAAGTTCCTCCATCTTATCCTTTTTATGAATGTCTTAGCTGCTCTTGACCTATTGCTCTTCCTTATACATTTTGGAATTAGCTTTTCAAGTTACACACACATACACACACACAGAGGGACAAAATTATGGGGATTTTGATTGAAATTACTTTCTATCTGTAAACTGATTTGAGAAGAGTTACCATCTTTGTGATTTTGAGTCTTCCCTAACTACGATATGTCTTTCCATGTATTTAGGCTTTTTTGTGTTATTTTAGTGAAGTTTCATAATTTAATCTATAATTCATGTCTTTGTAAAATTTTTATTATTATTGTATCTTATTGCTAATAGTATATTTTTAGAAAATTATGTTTTGTAACAGTTTGTTGCTAATGTATACAAATATAATGTTTTTTGTATAACAAATTTGTAACTAGAAAGCCTGCTAAACTTTACTTTATTAGTTTCAATAATTTATATGAGCTTTTATTTTCTCCCTCAATCCATATTTTTATCTTTTTCTTATATTACTACACTGTCAAGACTTTTGTCATCCCACTTTTAACATAATACATGTACATAATGTGTGGGGAATGTTAAAAAGAAATGTTAATAGTGTGCATGCTTATGTTTATCCTGATTTTAAAATGAATGTTTTTAAAGTTTCACTACTAAGTAAATTTGCTGTAGTTTTTTTTCTTAGATATCATTTAACAGGTTAAGGAAGTTCCCATTTATTTCTAGTTTGCCAATATAATTTTTAAAAGATGCACTCATCTTTTCAAAATTGGATGGATGTTGAGTTTTATTAAACATGCTTTATGTTATTCACTGAGATGACATACTAATTTTCTACTTTCACCGGTTGATGTGGTTTGTTACATTAGAGGTTTTCTTACTTTGAATTAATCATAGCAGTCTTGGGATAATTAAGAATTTATTATTTCATTCACTAGTATTTTGTTTCAGATTTTAGCATTTTATTCCAGAATGAGATTGGCCTGTAATTTTTCATTCTTGTGTTGTCTTGGTCTGATTTTAGTATCAAGGTTACACTAACCTCATAAAATGAGGTGAGAACTATTTCCTTTCATTCTTTTCTCTCACAGATGTCACCCAGGGAACTATCTGTTCCTCAAATATTTGGCATAACTTACAGTTAAAACCATCTGAACCTGATGTCTCTTTTAACACTGTAACTGATACAGTTTCTTTAATAGTTTTAGAGTCATTTGTGTTTGCTATTTATACTTATGTTAGCTTTTTTAAACTTTTTTTTTTATTAAATCATATCTGTGTACATGAATGCTATCTTGGGGTACAGAGTGCTGTTGCTATATACAATTTGAAATACCTTCATCCAACTGGTTAACATAGCCTTTATGTCATTTTCTTAATTATTGTGTTAAGACATTTATATTCTACATTTAGAGAGATTCACATGTACCCTTATAGGATAAACCATAGGCGTAATCCCACCAATCACCCTCCCTCCACCTAACCCCCCTCCCCTCCCCTCCCTCTCCCCTTTCCCCATATTCTTGGGCTAAAATTGGGTTATAGTTTTCCTATGAAAGCTATAAACTAGTTTCATAGTAGGGCTGAGTACATTGGATACTTTTTCTTCCATTCTTGAGGTACTTTGCTAAAAAGAATATTTTCCAGCTTCATCCATGTAAACATGAAGGAGGTAAAGTCTTCATCTTTCTTTATGGCTGCTTAGTATTCCATGGTATACATATACCACAATTTATTGAGCTTTTTATAGTTACAACTTTTTAGAACTTTTTTTTGGGGGGGGGGGCAGGTCTAGGTTTGAACCCGCCACCTCCAATATATTGGGCTCGTGCCCTACTCCTTTGAGCCACAGCCGCTGCCCAGTTTTCTAGGACTTTTTCTATTTCACATCAGTTTTCAAAATTATTTACATAAAGATTTAATCTTCAGGGAGGTGCCTGTGGCTCAAAGGAGTAGGGCACCGGCCACATATACTGGAGTTGACAGGTTCAAACCCAGCCCTGGCCAAAAAAAAAAAAAAAAAAAAAAAATTAATCTTCATATCTTTTAAATCTCTGTTGCATTTTCAGTATATCCTCTTTCTTTGTTCTAATATTGTTTATTTGTGCACTCTTTTTATTCTCTTAATCTTGACAGAAGTTCATCACTTTTTATAATTCTTCTAAAACGACCAACTTTTCATTTTTGAAAATACTTTGTATTTTATGTCTTATTATTTTTCTCATCATTTTTCTATTTCTTCCACTTTCACTATATTATGTTTTTTTTTAAACTTGTAAAGTTAGATGGTCAGCTCATTAATTTTCAGACTTTCTGCTTTTCTAATATAAGTATCCTGTGTTATAATTGGCCTAATAAGCAGGGCTAATATTCCACTGATGCACAATTGTTTCACCATAAAAATTTTTAAGTATTACCAGACCTTTTGATAAATAGACACAGCCCCAGGCTTTCTTAGTCTCTCTGTCACTTATTCAGTTTACCCAGGTCATTTCAGTCCATTTCCAAGACTACTAAGATCTATATGATAATCATCTAGAAACTAAAGATTTAGTTGCTGCCAGTCATACTAGGAGGTTTCCAGTACTTGGTGCCAGCCCC